TCCATAGGCGCTCATGGGTGGATCAGTTCCGGAACGTGTCTAGTCGATGAAAGATGGAAGGTAAGAGCTTTCTTGTTCCTTCGCTTCCTTTGTTGCAGAGCAGATAATCCTTTTTTAGGTAAAAATCACTTTTTATGGACTCGATGCGATCAAATTGACAGAAGTTAGAGAACAGAAAGGTGGCTGAACTACTGAATAATATAAGTACAAAATTGTGGAACTTTTTCGCTTTTGAAAAACTCAGTGATCTTTGTTTCGCCAACAGTGGGCAACATTAATCCTATTATTGGTCTGGCAATGATGGGATTCATAATTGTTTCCACGTTGCAGACAACCTTTGGCAGGCTCCAGAACACATACGAGATTCTTCGCTGGCCCCCACTAAGGAAGGAGATATTTTCAGGTACGTATTTGGAAGAAATTTGCAAGCTATAATGTTCTTTCAAGAACTGATTACAAAGCTTTGATAATAATTGAAAAGCACAGCTTTTTCAGTTTTGCCATTGTTTGCTCCGAAATCATCACGAAGAAATCAGCATGGGATCTTGAAAATCAGAGTTATGATCTTGACGGTAAGTACAGTTTTCCAATCATTCGAGTACGATGCTCAAGCTTCTTAAGGGAATATTCTGGAATACTTAATGAGCTAGTTTTAAAAAATTCAAAAGGAGATCTTCTTGGAGAAATTAAGATTACTGTGAGACCTAACTTTGAAAAAAACCTTGATTCTTTATAGGCGGTGTCCAGACAAAACCATGACCACTTATATTAAGTCTATACGTTTAGTTGAAAAACAAAACAGATAAGCGGAAAAACCTGTTCTCCAAGTCACTCAGCTAGCAAGTCCGGCAAACCCTATCATACTGTCTGGCCTCTTTAACTGTTCTGCTCAGCGAGATAATCAGGCGATTGTTTTGGGAAACGCTGAAATTGAGCAACTCGTCTGATAGGAAGGACCCAAAGCTTTTTGTCGTTTTACAAAAATTTTAGGTCAAATCTGCTCAGCGCACTAAAGGAGAAAAGAAAAGTAGTCCAAAGTTTGTGTGATTGCTGAGAAATAGGCTTAGATTATACGGAATATGTAAAGAACAATCAATTTGCTTTTTATCTGGCTAAGAACCCTTTTTAAGAATTAGGGTTTAAAAAAAAAATAGTAGCAGTTACTTATAACTCTCACTCTAACTGTTTTATACACCATGTAATTATCACTCCTTTCAGAATTAATATACAAAATCAAACGAGGTGGTCGTTCTCCCATACGTCCCTCCCTTGAAACCGAGGACGAACACAATTCGAGCCTCACACTGCTTGTGAAAGACTGCTGGAGTGAGGAGATCGACATGAGACCCACGTGCGATCAGTTGAAATCACTCATTAAAAGCATGAATCATAACAAGTGGGTTAACCATATTTTCAGAGCTCCTGACAAGAAGATGGGTTCTGTGTAATCATCCATAACGAATATATCTCGGCAAATAATAAATGCTTTGCTATAGTTAAGATGATTTTGATGGAAAGTCTTCAGCGGGACTCCTTGTTAGATACAATTAAATATTAGGATATCCATTTACATATTTTACAAATAATTAATTAAGAAGAAAAGTGATGAAATAGAAAAGAAGTGATATGAAAAAGGTGTGATAGTACATTGGATTTCCCTTAGATCGTCAAACTTAATGGACCACGTTTTCAACGTACTGGAGCAATACGCTTCCAATCTGGAAGAAGAGGTAGTAGTTTAAATTAAATTAAAGTTACAGTTTTGAAGTCATTCTTACTTTTGAGGTGCAAGCGCGTATGAAAGAACTCACTGAAGAAAAGAAAAAGAGCGATATTCTACTCTACAGGATGTTGCCAAAGTATGCTTTTTAAT